ATTTTGATCGTTCTTCTATAGAGGCTGAACATTTTGATCGTTCTTCTTGGCAAAACAGCTCTAGTTCAGTCAGACTGAACAGAGAGAGTCTATAAACAGTTTTCAAGTCTGGCTACAGATTCTCAGACGGTTTAGGTTTAACTAGGCCCTTCTATGTTTTGATCTAAATCATCCCAGTGCAGCTCTGGCTCATGTTTCAGATCATTGTCCTGCTGGAAGGTGAACACCTCAGTGTTAAGCAGGGACGATTCTAGGATCTCTTGGTTTGAACAGCGCGCCCCTTCGTGTGGTTTTTGAGAAGTACAAAAGCTTACAGCACCTGGTATTCCCAGGCAGTCTCCCATCCAAGCACCAACCATGCCCGACCCTGCTTGGCTTCTGAGATCAGACGAGATCGGACGTGTTCAGGCTGGTCTGGCTGTAAATAAGTGTCACAAGTAGCATTTTTAAAGGATCATAGCAAACAACGACTAAACTTATGCAACCAAAAGTTGCAACCTATATCTACATACAAAACAAAGCACAACTAGCTTTACGCATTAACCTTTAATTTAACTGCTATGACTGCAAATCGTTTGTAATGCAAAACCCCGACAATGTTGTCGAAAGGGGGTGTTGCTCCTGCTGGTAAGGGGCGTTTAGCTTCAGGACAAATTGAGGTTGCCAATTGGGCAGTTGCTGACGAGCCTTCTGGATTGATTGACAGGTGGCGTCAAGGATCCGACTCGTGCAACGACAAAAATAATCATAGATTTTACTGGCCCATTTAAGCGTGTCATCATTTATTCCATATTTATTAAACATTTCAGTGAATAAGATTTGAGAACTTAAACTTCCTTACAAAATCCTAATGATGGTCTCTTAAATTTTCAGGGGTGCTGAGTTAAAACTTACGGGTTTTGATGAGACTACCTGTATAAAGGGTAAATGGGGGGGGGGGGGGTCAAACCCCCCCACCCCCCCCCCCCCCCCCAAAAAAAAAGAGGCTAAAATTGCCACTGGTCTTGAGTCTTTCTCAGCCTCCAACAGTTTTTTTTTTTTGTATTTAGCTCCATCTACCTTCCCATTAACTCAGTAGCTTCCCTCTCCCTGCTGAAGAACATGATGCTGCAGTGGGTTTGATATGTTCAGGGTGGTGTGCAGTTAGTTCCCCACCACCACACATAGCGTTTTGCATTCAGTTTTGACCTCGTCTGTCCTGAGCAGCTTCCTCCACATGTCCACCACGTCCCTGCAGCTGGTGACGAACTGTAAACAGGTCTTCCAGCTTTTTTCAACTATGGCTTTCTTCTTGCCACTTTTCCATAAAGACATGTGGGGTGCACCACTATTATTTGTCCTGTCAGCAGATTCTCCCACTAAATTCTGCAGTTTTTCCAGAATCCATGTTTTTCTTTGGCTTCTTCGTAGAGTAATGGACTCCTAAATGTTTAGGTAGATGGTCATGTCTTGATGGGTTTGATGTTGTGTTGTACTCCTTCCATTCATGATTGATGGATTGAACAGAGCATCACATCACTTTCAAATTTTGGGTTGTTTTATAACCTAACCCTGCTTTAAACTTCTCAACAACTTTGTCCCTGACTTATCTGGTGTGTTCCTTGGTCTTCATAGTGCTGTTTAATTGTAATATTCTTTAACAAAACTCTGAGACCTTCGCAGAACAATCATATTATTATCAGATTAAGTATTTACCAGTTAGGTGACTTCTGAAGGAGACTCGTTGCTCCGGGGTACTACAGAGGGCTGAATATAAGCCCACACCACACTTGAAATATTTATTTGTAAAAAAATAAAACTTTAAATGTATCTTTTTTTTTTTTTTTTTTTACTTTGTAATTTAATGCACTACTTTGTGTTGGTCAATCTCATAAAATCCCAGTAAAATACTTTGAAGTCTGAGGTGTGAATACTTTTGCAAAGCATCGTTCATAGAGACTGCTGTAATTAATATATTTTTTATTTCATTCCTTATTTACAAAAACAGTTGGCATTGTTAAGTGGCGAGGGTGGGTTTCAAGGGCAAGTTGCGACAAGTAATTTTGTCTTCAGATAAATGTTTTCCTAATTTCGTGTGAGGAAGAGTTGGACAGAAAGGTCGAGAGGATCAGGATGCAACAGATCATGATGGAGATCAGGTTTCTGCTCCTGTGAGAGGCATACAGATGTGTTGCAGGACTGCACAGCTGCTCCCATCAGTGGAGGAGGTAAAGTGCTGAGGGGAGGGACGCTCAGCACTGTCTTCCCCGTGGACCCCCATGTTTACGGTGACAGGACCCCAGCAGAGTCTCCAAAGCCATCTTCACAAATGCCTGGAAGTTACTGCTTCTCTCCCTTCGGCTGTCCTGCGAGGGAAGAAAACGGACAGATATCTTCTCTGGGGACAGAGCAGTCGCACTGCACGAGCACACTCCTAAAGATGATTATTATTAACAGTCTGCACAGATGTGATGAACAGAGTAAATTTAGTTGTAACTCTGAAAAACTTGTATACATGAGAACGAAGAACAGTGCAATGATTTTCAGCTCATGAGTTTTATTCACACTGGAACAAAGTAAACAAATGTTGAAACTAAAATTGTGCAGTTTTGAATTAAAAAAAACTAGAATTTGAGTGAAAGCTGCAGGTTTTGGAGGGGCATGTTGTCCCTTTGCTGTCTGGCGCAGGAGTCTGTTCAGATGTTTTTACTGACGCGAGGTGGACTGCAGGTCAGGATCTGGACTCTTCTACAGAGCCATGCTGCTGTCGTGCATCATTGTGAAGTTTAACGTTGTGTTGGTGATCCATGACGAAGATGTCTGGATCGAACCATATGTTGTATAAACCTTTGTATGCATGAGCTGCCATAGATACTAATGCACCCCCATACCATCAGAGAGGCAGGCGTTTCAACTGACTGCTAATACCAGACTGGATAGTTCCAGTCCTGTGAATGTGGTGCCCATAGTTTTCAAAAATAATGTCAAATGTTTGTCTGATCTCAGAACAGTTTTAAACTTTGCCTCAGTCCACTTTAAATAAGAGAAGCTGCATCCTTCATTTCTGGGTAGTGTTCATATATGGCTTCTTCGTTGCCTGATAGAGCTTTAAGCAGCATCTGTTGTTTGTACGGTGAACTGTTTACAGATAATGATTAATGGAAGTGTTTCTGAGCCCACGGAGTGATGTCCAGAACCTGTTTTTACTGCAGTGGCCCCTGAGGGCCCAAAGATCATGAACTTACAAAACAGACTTTCAGTCTTGTCCTTTGAGCTCAGAGATTTAAACAGATTACTGAAATAATTTACTGATATTATGAACCATGAGATATTTAAAGTCTTTGCAGTCTTTGAATTTGTTCCACTATTTTGAGACAGTTTTCCACAGACTAGTGAACCTCTGCCCATCTTTACTTCTGACAGATTCAGCTTCTTTCAAAGGGTGCTTTTATACTCAGTCCTCTTTCTGACCTGTTGCAAATTATCCCTAATTACACCCCCCACTCCCCCCAAAAAGAAGCTCTTCTAGCTGCTTTTTGTGCCACTTTTCAGCTTTTTGTTGCCTCTGTCACAACATTTTTATGTGTTGCTATAAAATTAGAATTATATTAGGTTTAACCGAACAAATTGTACGTTTTTGTTACTATATGTTTACTAAATTACACTGTGAATAAAATATGGGTATAAATTTGTACACCATTGCATTCTTTTTTTTTTTTTTTTTACATTTTACACAATATTCCACCTTTTTTCTGAGTTGAGGTTGTAAATGCTTACCTCCTTGCTTCTTGTTATCGTCTCCTTTCTGATCACCTTTCTTCGGCTGTTCTTTAGGACTCTGAGGTTGCTGTGAGATTAAAGTCATATTAATCAAGCCCAAATAAAGAAACATGATCAAAAATAAAGGAATGATTTATTGCTATTGTACCTTAGTAGTTGACTTCTTGTCCGATTTATTACCTGAGAACGGTGGGATGATAAGATTCACATAAACAGGTTCAGTAAGCATCTAAAAGCTTCGTAAGTTAACTGTGTTTTATTTTATTTTTTTATCATGTAAGTCTGGTATCAACCAAACAAACATATTTAATGATTTAAAAAAATGTATTTACTTCTTTTGGTTAAATGTTTCTCACCTTTTGTTCCGGGCATTTTGGCTGCTCTCCAAAGTTGATGCTGTTTTAATTTTTTGAGAATGCAGTGCTTAATGTGCGGCTCACCTCGGTCATTTATGGCCTGAGCTCCTGAATGGCTCAGTCACAGGGGCCCCTTCGAGAAAGAGCACCGTGAACAAGCAAAGAGCCCCGTCAGCTGAGCAGAACGCCCCACAGCCCTGCAGGTCTTTGCTGAGCCACGCGAAACCTCGGAGCTGACCTTGTAATACTGCCATTGTGGACTCACTAGAACCATGTGTCCACCTATTGTTCATGACAAGAAAGCATTTTCATCAAGGTACCAGTGAGGCAGATTAATATTATTATTATTATTATTATTATTATTATGATTTTGGTCGTAGAGCAGTTTTTTTTTAAATTAAACATTAAAAAAATAACATTTGACCTCATAACACAAAATAAGTGGTAATATTACAAAAACTACATTTGTTTTTATGATGCATCTCATGAAGAAGTATTTGGAGACATCACATTATAGTGAGATTTCTTACAAAGAATAATTAAATCAGCTCAAATCAAAAAAATGTAACTGGATATTCAAGTAAAGTTCATACCACAATTTAAAAACTACATTGAGAAAACCATAAGCGCATATTCACTGAAGTTTGTTAAAACATATTTAGCTTTATTTAATCTGACCAGCTTTAAATGGTAAATATGTACGTCATGAACGTGAGCACAGTTGGATTATAAACATGTATTTGTTTTTCAGTGCCATTTTGTAATTAAGTGTTCCTTCCATCCTAATAAGAGCTAACAACTAAATAAATAAATGTAATAAATGTAATGCTCATGGCTTTCTAAAAAGAAAAAAAAAATCTTAGTGATCCGTGATGAACAAAAATAAAACTTCCTCTAAAGAAAGATCACAACAGTGAACATGTAGATTATTTTTGTAAATAAGAGCATTTGAAATAATCTGAGCAAGAGGAAAAATATGTTTTTTTTAAGTCTGTGTCTGTGTCCATTTTTAATGGAAGATGTTTTAATTTTAGGCCAAAATATAGCTTATATTATATTATAGATGCAGAAACAATACATTTCTTTATAAAATATTAATTAAAATATGTTTGTGTCTTATTGTCTTCTTGTTATCCAGTGAAAAAATTGCCATTTATAATAAAAATTTGACCTATAAAGTGACTCATGCGCATAATGCTGTATGAAGTTTTTTGGGAAAAAAAACAACTCTCTTTTCCTAAAAGCCCTCATGTTGACGGAGCATTAGTGTTTGCAGTGTTTTGTATAACTCTAATCAAACTATGCTCGTGTAATCATCGTGGAACAAACATAAACAATGTAAATTCTGTGAAAAGGTCATCAAGGTTCGTGCTCTGCAGCTCTGAGCGCGTCCAGCGTCAGAGGAGCAATCACGGCCTCTGATTGGTCAGGGAGGGTCACGTGACTCGACAGAAACACGCAGGGATGGAGAAAAGCTAAGGAAGGTGAGTCGTTTTCAAAGGCATTGCAGCAAACTTATGTAATTTAACCTCGCGGTATGAACATTAAATATTGCATAAAAGTGCTGCAATATTTACTAGATTTTTAAAAATCGAAGACGTTGTCATTAAACTTATTTTTCTTGAGGAAAACCGCTAAGTTGGCGATGCTCACTTGCTAGTTGCTAACTGATGCTAGTTTAGCTTTCCAGGGGCTCGTGTGTTCAGCGTGTTTATTAGATAAAAATATAAAAGCTTTACTTTTTTTGTTTACACTTGACAGTGTGGGTTTACCTCTGAAAATTTCTTCTGATAAACTCAGTGCCAGACAAAGCCCAACAACTAATATTTCCTGAGGTGCAGTAGATTGTCCACCATGATCACCAGCTAATAAAGCCCAGCGTCAGGGTGTGTGACATAACCATCTGATCTGATCTGTTCTGTATGCATGTAGTGTCAAAACGAGTTGTTTATTTGTAAAAGTATGAGCTTCTGATGTTGTTTGGACAGGACTGGCAGTGGCTTCATCCCTTCTCAGAGTTCTGTGGAATGGCAGCAGTTTGGCAGCAGGTTTTGGCAGTGGACGCAAGGTGAGACTCATCAAAACATATATATGTATATATATGTATATATGTGTGTATATATGTGTGTGTGTGTGGATCAATTATGAGTTAAAGTCTGCCATGTCGCTTCCTCTTTTGTTCTTCTCCCAGGTACAATGCTTACCGCACGCCTACCTTCCCACAGTTTCGAACTCAGTACATCCGCCGACGCAGCCAGCTGCTCAGAGAGAACGCCAAGTGTGGCTTTGAGCCAGGACTGCGCAGGCAGTACCTGAGGCTGCGCAGTCAGCTGTTGGCCCTGCGCTACGGGCCCCTGTCTGAGCAGAGCAGCTTCAGGGCCAGCAGTGTGCGCAGCTCCCGCACCACACTGGACCGCATGGAGGTCAGACTCAGAGAAACAGAAAGGACAGACAGTAAAGAGCATTAACTTAAGGTGTCTATTGATTTGGAGATGGGAGCTTAAAATATTCTAAAGCTTGAAAAAATGTACGAGGCAAGCAACACTTTGGTTGCTGGACACATTAGGCTGAGCAGCTTGGTTGAAATGGCTGTCACGTCACATGTATGGGCAGTGTCTAAGTCTTCGTGGTAGTTTCAGTCAATTTTGAACATGTAGGAATGCATGTTTCACAGTTCTACAGTAAGTGTGTCTTTGTCCATCTTCACCTTAACTCACACTTTGAGGTTCTTTTTCTCTTGTTGCTCCACTTCCTCTCCCTCTCTGGCAGGATTTTGAGGAGGACCCTCGTGCCCAAGGGGCTCGCGGTCATCGCCGGTCTGTCAGCCGAGGCTCCTATCAGCTTCAGGCCCAGATGAACAGAGCCGTCTATGATGAGAGGTACACTGAAAAGAGCTGAACAAAGATCCTCTGTTTTCATTCAGTGTCTTGTGTCAGAGCTTCTTTTTTCCTCCAGTAATCTGCTGCGTTTTGTTAAGTTTACTGTCGGTAGTTTTGGCATACATCCACTATTGTGATCTTTTATATTGAGTTAACTTTTAAAAAAACGGTTATGGGCTATTATCATGTTTTTATTTGTGGCCACAGGCCTCCGGGCAGTTTGGTGCCCACCTCCGTGGCAGAGGCTAGTCGTGCGATGGCAGGAGACACAACCTTGAGTGAAAATTATGCTTTTGCAGGCATGCATCACATATTTGATCAACATGGTGACTCTGCTGGTGTGTAAACAATTTTTTATTTGGCTGAATCAGTTTGTAACATGAACCTAACATTCACTCAGTTTTACTTGTTTTTCTTTTTTTAGTTCCCCGATTACAGTTTGCTAATGATGACAAGCACCTCCTTGCTTGTTGCTCATTGGATGGCACCCTATCCATTATGACACTGTCCCCACCACCTCCTAGTGTGAAGGTGATCCTGAAAGGGCACGGGGGTCCTGTCACAGACTTTGCCTGGTCTCTGAGTAATGACATCATTGTGTCGACATCGTTGGATGGGACTCTGCGCATCTGGAACACGGAGGATGGTCGGTGCATTCGAGAAGTCAGAGACCCAGAATCCAGCGAGCTGCTCTGTTGCACCTTCCAGCCTATGAATAATAACCTTACTGTGGTGAGTGGTTTTTACTCATGCAGGCATGTTTTGTAGTACCGTATTTTACGCTGTATAAGTCACAGTTTTTTGCATAATTTGCATGCCCTGCGACTTATACGCCAAAGCGACGTATTTATGGATTTTTTCCATATTTATAAACCAATTTTTGGCTGAAATGACGTTTTCATTCATTCTGACTGAAAATATTGAACACTACCATTTTCAGCCACTAGATGGCACTTGAATAGTAAAGCATACTGTTGTCATGTAATCGGTAAAAGTGACTATTAATGGCACAATCGGCTTACCATAGCCTGCCACCTTTGTTTGCCTAAAACAACCGTCACATCAGCTTCATTTTGCTGCACCGCCCCGGCAAAATGCAGCTGATTTGACCATTGAAGTGCATTTACTAAGTAAAAGTTCAACTGAGACACGCATTTACTATAGAGCAAACAAATAAATGTTTTAGGTGGTTCTTTTGGTAAATTTCGAAGAAATGCACAGCAAGTCGTTCTCTACGCATTCATGTTTCTGCGTATCGGCTTTTGAAATGCAGCTGATTTGACCGTCAGTGCATTTATTAAGGAAAAGTTACACTGAGACACACCTTTACTATAATTTTGAGCAAACAAATAATTGTTTTTAAGTGTTAATCTTGTTAAAGTCCTCCCATGCACGCTGTTGCGGCTGCCATTTGGCAGCCAATCAATTTTTGGCACAACACCGGTACGTTTCCGGGTTGTCAGCGGTGATGCATAATAGATGCGACGTATACAGCGAAGCAACATATTTATGGATTTTTCCACTTTATTAGACATATTTAGACTGATGCGATGTGTACGGCAGAAAATACAGTACTAGTCTTGGTGTACCAATGGTGTGGTTGGTAACAGGTAATGATTTAAAAATACTTCAAGTTGGAAAATTTAGTTACTTTCCCATTTTACTGAGCATTTGTTATTTTTATGGCCCACCACCAAAGGCAAAAGGACAAAAATGATTTTGTCAGTGCTTGTGTGTTTGTTTGTCTGTTAGCCAAATATGGACAATTTATTTAAACTCTCAGAAAGTAATTGTTGGATGTACATTTTAAACTGATTAATTTTTGGAGTTTGCTGTATTCAAGATGGCCGCCACATGTAAGCAACCTTGACAAACTTTAAAATGACTACACCACAGTTCATTTTACAGATATTCAGCCATAATTTAGTGTGATGGTAGCTGAGAGTGATCCACAACTTATACCCCAAGTAGTAAACCATCCTTCAATCTCTGTTTCTAAAACTTTGCCATTAATTGTTGTTGTCAACTCTGTTAGTAAGATATTTCATGAACCAATAAAACTCAGAAAGTAAGTACTGAATGTACGTCTATATTTGAATAACCTTCGAAGTCAATCTGATTCAAGATGGCTGCCACGGCTACACTCATGTTTGGAATCAAAAATGGTTATAACAGCCAACTTTACAAATACTGAGGTATTATGTGTAGTAGTAGCTG